AAACGAAGTAGTACATCAAGTTTCAAATTCTTCCTACAAATTGCGTATAACTTGCAGGTAATATTCTTTATTGACCGTTCTACCCTGTGGCAATAACTCATGATGCATCACGCCCTGTAATCGACGAAAATTGTAAGCAATACCTTCGCATTTGACCTAACTTGGCGCGCTTTTTTCGGTCTTGGCTCGTGGGGCAGCTTCCATTGGGATAATTGAACTTTGGTTTCCACGTCATAACCATAAACACATGATTCGTCACCAGTTATGACCCTCTGGAGCAAATTTGGGTCGTCGTGGACAGAGTCCAACTGCTCCATGGCAATGTTAATGCGATGTTGTTTTTGGTTTAAATTGGACAATTTTGGCACACATTTCGCGGCGATCCGTCTCATCCCCAAATCATTGGTGAAAATCGAATAGCAGGAGCCATCGATAAGTTTGGGTCCTCAGCAACGTGATTCGACGATTGGCCAATACTATTTTGTTCACTTCATCAATGTTTTCCTCTGTTGTTAACGTGCTCGGGCGTCCGGTACGCTCATGAAGAGTCAGTAAGAGAGTATCAGAAACAAGAGTTAAGGGCAGATTAGATTATTGTTCGCTAAGTTTGATACGTAAATTTGGGCCAGAGTAGGAACAAGTCCAAGCAGTTCTTGAGCCGAAGACATTACGACGATAATGGTATACTGCGGTCAATTATATGCTTCCCTGGAATAACAATTACCTATCGAGCCCCAAAAATGGGTGTTTTTAGGGATTCAATACCGAACTGGCACCTTTCCACTTCCTACGGGTGTAAAACTAACTTATTATTTAACGTTTTCTTACAAACGTAATCAAACTTATTTTTAAATTGTAGATTTAGTAAGTGTTGCAGTTGTGGTCACAGTTACTATTTACAATTGGATCTTATCCGTTTTTTTAACTGTTATGTAATCAAAGATAAATAATAAACTAGTGGTCCTACTCCTGGGACCAGTGCTGATGTTTATTTTCTCTTATTGACCCTACAAATAACAAACTAAGCAAATGGTAATAATAGTAGCAAACTTTTCTCTTGGGAACTATTGTATTTACATATTGACTTGTTCTTTATGTCTACTTGCCGTGTGTAAATACAATAAGAATTAATATTTAAAAATACTACCCCCAAGGCAAAGGCGAGATTGCGTTATTTTTTTCGAGTCTAAATCAGATTATATCAAAAAGAAAAAACGAACGCAGGACAGAACAAGCCTTTTGAGTATATTGTTTATGTTTCTTATATTTTTAAGTAAATTTTAGAGTAAAGGGTTATTAATGACTTCGGTTTGTGCTTTATCAGTTTATCAAGGTAAAATTAATTCTATACGAAAGTGTTATCGAGCGATTAAGAATTTGAGATTATGAAATGATTTCTACTTCTGAAAAAGAATGTTTTCCAATGTATGGAATTCATAGCTAGGTTGTAGTTAATTAATGGTAGAAGGCTTTATTTGTTGAAATTCCATCAAAACATTGGCTTCTTCAGGTGATTAAAACTTTTACAAAATTAACTTAAATACTAAGAGTTTACAAATTTCATGGGGTGGGAACAACGAAAGGGAGGGATAAGATTAGAATTTAAGTTTTTGAAGGCAAAATTTAATTTAATAAAGGAGAACCATTTACATCAGTTTGATCGTTTAGTAAAATGTTTTGGTGAAACAATTGTTGTGAACTATTAATATATATTTTTGAAACTTTACTTTCGTATCCTTTAGCCGTAGTTAACCCATGGATTCTGCCATGATTACCATATAACTATTGACATTCGCAAAATTGAATATTGTTTAGTATGTAAAACATTCATTCATCAAAACAGAAAACTTTTACCTTTAGTAATTTGTTGTAATATATGATTACATCGTGAAGTGTAACTAAAAAATCATTTATATTCTGCTTTGTAATAAGCCCTTTGTTGTTTGAAATGTTAAGTATTGATTTTTTTAAAATTATTGTTTATAATTTACTTAATGGAATAATAACGTTTATTAAATTCTTGGTCACTGGTAATTGGTAATTAGTGTACTTGTATTTATCAATCAATTTTCAAAATTTCACCATTCAAGAATTGAGTTAGAAGATTAAATACATATTTCATGAATTTTAAGCAATTTAATTCAATAATGATTGAATTAAATTTTTAATTTAGTTTTAATAAATAGATTTAATAAACGTATATTTCGGCGTATAACCATCCTCGACGTATAAACACCCCCCCTCTTAGTTTTTAGCTAAAACTATGGTGTTTAGGTATATCCGTTGTATATAAAAATCCTCTCAATATCAGTCGAAGAAATTGAATTTTTGAATATTGCATAAAGCTCAATACTGTAAAATTTTAAGTTCGAAAATAGTTTAAGATTAATGTTAATACACTTAATAAGCTTCTTAGTCACCGGTACGGTACCGGTGAACAGTCTCATACAAAAAAATGTCTGTCATGGATCTAAATGTAATATGGAGATATATAACTTTATATGCGACCCGTGGAGTTATGATTAATTTCCAAAGTGACCCGCAAGATTATTTGGGTTGCCAACCCTGGTCTAAAGTAAAGCTTACATGCTATCTGCTTTGACTTCTGTTTTGAAATGTTTATTTAGTAGTAACTTTAATGTTAAAAAGAACGTGCTGTTAGGGAATATTAAAAAAAAATATTTTATTGTTTAGTGATCATGATATTTGCGATAAATGGTGTTCTTTACGTAATTGTTGAAAGATAAATAACTGACATACACGTAAACTAGATAACGCATTGCTTGTTTAGGAATAGTTACGGTTATGAAAAAGAATTATGTGAATTATAAACGTTTTATGTAGATAGTATCAAGGTGAATTAAATTTTCTTGTAAATTACATGTATATGCGTATAAATATTTACTATAGCAGCATAGAGGATAAAACTTCATTAGTTATTGAAATGTTTAATGTTAAGTAAAAATTAATTTTTATACGAAAAACAATATCTAACATACTTTAGTGTTGTCGTAAATGCAAATGCAACTGAACAAATATCACTTAGGTATTCACAGTTATAATTCTTTTGTAATTGACCAATAAACTACTAACATCTGTTATAAAACTAGTTAATCGATTTATTCTGATTGAAATAACATTTCTAAAATAACAACTGATTTAATTCTTCCAACTGGCATTACTATTTATTCCTATTTTGATAAATTATAGAAATAGCATTATCAAATTTATATTTATAAAGAACAAGTTAATGTCAATAAAACAAAAACTAAAACAGAGGAGATTCTACAACGCACTCTTTTGGTTTTCAAAAATTGTTGAGGAAAAATAAAAAAAATGGAGCTGGTTTAGTCTACAGTAATTTTATTAATTGTTTCGCTCCAAAAAAAATACTGAATCAATTTTGTTAAAATCTAAACGGGATCAATCTGAGAGTATGTCTACTGAAGTTTTGAATAATCAAGCTTTGGAGGGTGCAAGTGGTAATCGAATTGTGAGTAGAGGAGCGTGATTAAGCGACGAAAACAATTGTAAAAGAACTTGAAGAAGTTGTAATCTGAAGACGGTCCTGGACGTGAATAATTAAAAAACTACACCGATGGAAAATGTAAACAGTGACGGTTGTTGAGCGACTAATAAAGTAAACATCAACTGGTTACCACTGCACTACTACACACAATAATCTTTAGACATCCATTGTAATAACAATTAATTAAATAACTGTTTTGTGCATTGCTGGTAGTATACAGTACTATTTATAATACATCTCGTCAAGAAAAAAATTATACTAGGTAAATTAATATCCTTTGGATCAGTAATAGAATTTTTATTAAATTTTAATGCCACCATTGAGGTATGCGATAATATTATTATACATTAACTTATTGACTACTGACACATTGACCTACTTCTAATGACTTCATCTGTCTACATACATACGTAATACAAGCCTACATCGTTGAAAAAACAAAGAATACTCTAGGATGGTTGTACCTAAATATAAACATCGTCAATCACATTCAATCTAATCTAACAAATAACAAACAGTACGTGAGTACAATAATACAAAAGAAGTACAACATGGATGCAACTAAGTAGCAGTTGATTTAATGCAGCGTTGCAATGTCGTATTTCCCTACGTGATCCTACCAGGGCCGTACTGACCCTTGTCTGTACTTTCAAATACGCTTTTCTCGTCAAACCTTTAGTAACTTTTATTTAATTTTGTTGTTTTAATAGTGCCCTATCACCTCCTGCAAGCTTGTATTTTGTTGACACATAATTTGTAGTAATATACAAAAATTGCAATTTGTTGATAAATCAAAAAGTAATTCACTGTATGTAATACTTCTATTTTCAAAAGTTCGGGTAGGTACTTTCTATTTATATTTTCTCGTATTTTGAATTATATAATACAGCTTCATTTCAATTTAACAATATTTTGTAAATAACGGAAAAATGTCGAAGACTTTATAAAGAACACACAAAGAATTTGTTAGTGGAAACGAAAGTTTATAAATTGTAAAGTAGACAAATGAAACTTTATTTAAACATTCACTTCTGTTACCTATGCTCAGTTTTCATGCGCACTGTCTTAACGTCTTGTACAACCTTCATAGAACAAAATGGCAACTTTGCATCAGGGATTTTTTGAAAACTTCTTGATAAATATAGCATAACTCAAGAACTATGACATGTTTATTCATGAAATTTTGGATGCTGGATGTTCGAGAGAGCCTTAATGCAAAATTGAATGTGTAATACGTTATGAGTTACGGAAGGTTCAAAAGGTCGAAACTGTTCATGTAATATACACACTGTCTTTTTCTTTTTTTTTCGAACTTGGCTGACACTGCTGAGTGCCCAGATAACAGAGGTACATATATATTTCTATTTTATCCTGAGGGTAGAGACAAAGCAAAGGATAATAAAATATTTTTCTTAAAAGAAGTTGTATTGACGGAAGGAAGTAGGTTAATCCGATGTTGTTTTCTTTGCAGGAACGTACCAAGGACAATGGTTGCGTGGGATGAGACATGGATACGGGGTGCGGAACAGCGCGCCGTTCGGAAAAGCGTCCAAGTACCGGAACAAGACGCTCCGGGCGTCACTTACGTCGTTACGGAGCAACGAGGCCACCGCGGGCGCTGCGACTGCCGGCGCCAATGCAGCCGACCCGGCTGAAAAGCGAGACCGTCGAGTCGACGACTCCAGGGGCGGATTCGTCCTTGTTGTGAATTCTGATGAACCCCAGCGGAGACGATCGCTCGGAGAAAAATCTATTAAACGAAGTCTATTGATGGTAAATAAACCGTTTTGTAATTCAATAATAATGTTTATTGAATTTTTTGGTTTTTATAATACAATTTTTGATATGATTGTGTGTTGTGTGCGCGATCGCAAGTTGTTGGAGCATACGTAATCCTAAAATGTAGCATCGTGCTACAGATGGCGTTTACTGCGCCATTTTCAGTATTTTCTAAAACGCACTGTTAAGACAACAGGTAAAAGTTGGTCTGTGTTCTGTCAGGCTGCCTGCGACGCGCTGATGAGATCCAAAAAAATCGAAATCGCGATCCGCGTCTTATCACTTGGAATTATTTTATTTTTAGTAGGTATATCGTTTTGGTATTTCATAATAACTTTCAAGCCTTCCTTCAGCCTCGTGCTTCCACTTCTTAGATATCTGTCATTGGTTTCTCTTTTTCTTAATACATTCTACATAGTGTTTCTTCTTGTGTCATTCAGAAATAATTTGCCTTTGTTTCACATCCTAGTCTAAACTTTACCATAATAACTTTCAAGCCTTTCTTCAGCCTTGTGCTTCCACTTCTTAGATATGTGTCATTGGTTTCTCTTTTTCTTAATACATTCTACATAGTGTTTCTTCTTGTGATAATTTGCCATTGCTTCACGTCCTTGTCTAAATTTTACCATAATAACTTTCAAGCCTTTCTTCAGCCTTGTGCTTCCACTTCTTAGATATGTGTCATTGGTTTCTCTTTTTCTTAATACATTCTACATAGTGTTTCTTCTTGTGCCATTCAAAAATAATTTGCCATTGCTTCACGTCCTTGTCTAAATTTTACCATAATAACTTTCAAGCCTTTCTTCAGTCTCGTGCTTCCACTTCTTAGATATGTGTCATTAGTTTCTCTTTTTCTTAATACATTCCACATAGTGTTTCTTCTTGTGCCATTCAGAAATAATTGGCCATTGCTTCACATACTAGTCTAAATTTTGCCATAATAACATTGAAGCCTTTTTTCAGCCTCGTGCTTCCGTTTATTAGATATGTGTCACTGTTTCTTTTTTTTTACAAATCCTATACAGTGTTTGTTCTTGTGTCATTCAAAAATAATTTACCATAATTTCACATCCTAGTCTAAATTTTGTCATAATAATTTTCAGGGCGTTCCTCGATGTCTCATTGTTTTCTCTTTGACTTTACACATCCTACACAGTGTTTCTTCCAGTGTCATTCAAAAATAATTTGCTTTTGTTTCACATCCTAGTCTAAATTTTTCATAATAACTTTAAAGTCTTTCCTCGATCTCGTCGTTCCTCTTCTTAAGCCTTCTGGAGTTTCTAGTCATTCCGGGACATTTGTCTTGCACTCAGTCACATGTATATCTTGGAATTGTGTCATCCATTTGTGCATTTTTAATTTGGTTTACAAGCTTATCACGTATGTATATATAATCTACCTTTAAAATTCACTTTGATCTTCGTGAAAAAAATAAGGCCTTTGTTAAACATTTAGCAACACTACAGTCAACAGTAAATGTTTCTGAAATGAGATACTCGTTTACTGCATACCTATTCTTTAATATTTTATATCAACTCACTTTCCGGAATAGTCAGTGATTAATCTAAACTGTCGATGACGTGCTGATCAGGAGTAATAAGTTCGAAATCATAATCTGCATTTCGTACTTTCGATAAGTTACTGTACGGAATAAACAAAGGGTGATAAATAGAATAAATGAGCGATTTCAAAGTCAAATGTACCTAGGTATATTGCCGATGTAATGAATTTATGATGAATAATAGCAGAAGTACCCAAATTGATTCTTTTAAAAAGTACAAAATAATGACATTTACAGTTTTAAGAAATTAATTTTTGTAATTGTCCCCTGGAGTCCTACTATAGCCAATCATATCCAAAATTAGAGACTACTGCGGACCAAAGTAATAGATATTTTCAGGAAAATAATACATATAAGAGTAATATATGACTAGTCAGTATTGAAGAGATTCGAGCATGCTGAAGGAAACGTAAGCAAAGCAATACGTAATGCCAACCTTTAAATTTTGGTTTCTAATTCTGGATACATTTAGCTTTCGGTTTTTTAACTTTTTATACATATTATTATTGTCAAAATTTATAGATACCTTCTATGCGGAAAATGCATTTTTATATCCAATTTTTGCTTTATTTTTTTCATTGTAAAAAGAGACTTTCGTCAAAATATTTATTTCTTTTAATGCATATTACGTATCTTTTATATAAATACTTTTTGAATGTAAATATTAACCAGTCTAACGAATTACGTCACTTTTTAAAATTATAAATTTCTCAATTTCTCGAAATAAAATTATGATGAAAATTGCTCAGTTTTGAATATAGCTTTGCCCAGTTAATTTTCCATTTCTCTTAATTATTATACTATATTTAAACTTATACAATATTCGATTTCAGGGTTTGAAACTGAAAAAACAAAAGAGTACGGGAGATTTAGAAAAAGGGACCGGCAGCATACGATCAACAGGTTCTTCCGCATCATGGGTCAGCACAGATTCCGCACAGTCAGCTATTACGAACGCTTCTTTGCACACGGATTCAAACGCGAGCTTCATAGTTGAGGTATGATAATATAGTGCATGCATGCATTCAAATTTCATTCCAAGGACTGTATACTGGAAAGGGAAGGGACTAAGATGACAATAGGCCATTGAATGTACATGCATTAAAAAAAATCCAAGTGAACTAGATCTTCCTAAGGGATAGCAATAAAATATTTTTTTTGCATTATACTCTGGAACACATAGCGTTCATGTGGGAATTATAATAAAATAGGGAGTAGGTACAAATTGTAGAAATAGTAATTAGAAGCGTGTGCAGTAATATGCTTCTCTTAGTATTGTAAATTGTGAAGTTCTATGTTGTTTCGTTAAGTTCCCAAAAGTAAAATCTGTATGCGTCACTAAAAGTAGGTATTTGGTTCTTTTACAATGCCAGAGTTGCATTTTGCTATATTTTTATTGGTTTACTGACAACTAATTCTGACACATGATGTTTTCAAGAAAATCAATATCGTGTTTCCATAGTAAAAATAAAATGAAAGTTCCAATTTTACTTTGCTTTCTTCTTTTTTTCATTTTTAATAAGTTGAAAGTAGTCCATCTTGAGAGAAAATGTTTCACATCTTGTATTACATTTAATTTTGGAAATAAATGCTTTCCAGTAATTTATATAAAACGAAATCAATATGCGTAGACCTGAATCGTACTTTTATAATTCCGTATTATTACGTACAACATTTATATTTTTATAATTTGTATTACTAGAAAGCTCTATATACCTACAGCAATTCATAAGTAAAATTCCCAGAGTAATTTTTAAGAAATTAGAGCTTTACAAGAGATACCATAACCTCTGAAATAGAAATTATGTCCGTTTTCTTCACAATATTTTTTTAAAGCTCATTCCAGTATACATTCACCCTTAGAGAATATTTAATATACAGGGTGGACCATTGAAAACACTGAGTGCGATTTCATACTATTCAGAATGACTTTTGTATAAAAACCTCAGACTTGTCGACTTTTATTGTAAGGGGGACATCTAAATTTAATGTTTTGATTCGTGTTACTTCATTCTTAAAGCGGGTAGGGCAGCACCTTTCAATTTTTTAATCAATGGTCAGTTCCAACTACACACCATTTGAAAGGTCTTTTAATTCCCTATTCAACTGTTTTTTATTTTTTGAAACTGGACCACTAACTTTCGAGAAAATGTGCCTTGGAGACGATATTAATTAAGACACATTACCAAAAGTATTAAAGTCAAGTAAACGCTGGTTGCCATGGACTTCTGCTTCTTAAATTTGCATGTCAAATTCCATAAACATAAAAAAAAAACTTTTGGGTGTTTCATTCCCACCAGCCACATATGCTGGCGGGCGGGCAGTCCCTCCGGACTGCGCCGGAAGGTAGGGCGGAAGGCCCTCTTCAGCCTGCTTTCAGGAATCGTGGGAATGGGTGGGTGGTGGTTCGGGTAAGAAAGATGAGACGGACGAAATAAAGACAGAAGAGAATGAAAGATTATCTGTGGAATATTACTGCCCCAGCATTTGCCTAAGTGATCCAAGGAAACCACAGAAAAACTTGGACCAAGGCAGACGGACCTGGAATCGAACCGGCGTCCTCCCGAATGCTAAGCAATGGTCTAGACCTCTAGGCCATGCCGCTCGGTCAACCATAAACATAGAGAATTGACTGCCCATTTACCCAGCGGCATGGCCTAGAGGTTTTGACCATTGCTTAGCATTCGGAAGGACGCCTGTTCGATTCCGGGTCCGTCTGCCTTGCTACAAGTTTTTCTGTGGTTTCCTTGGATCACTTAGGCAAATGCTGGGTCAGTAATATTCCACAGATAATCTTTCATTCTCTTCTGTCTTCATTTCGTCCGTCTCAACTTTCCCACCCGAACCACCACTCACCCATTCCCACGATTCCTGAAAGCAGGCTGAAGAGGGCCTTCCGCCCTACCTTCCGGCGTAGTCCGGAGGGACTGCCCGCCCACCAGCATTACTGGCTGGTGGGAATGAAACACCCAAATGTTTTCAAAATTTAAGGATGTTTCTCCTCACTTTGAGGTTGGAGTAATATGAATTCAAACAATGAATTTAGATGTCCCACTTTTTTCACAAAAATCATGCTAATTGGTATAAAATTGTACTTTGTTTTCAATAGGCCACTTTGTATAATCGCCCTGGAGTCTTTTATTTTATTATTAATACCTGTAGGACGACCAAATGGACGCAAGTGTTACTGAAACGTACATGGGCGAGTGGAAAAACGACAAACGTACGGGTTTTGGTATTAGCGAACGGTCAGACGGACTAAAATACGAAGGTGAATGGTACGCAAATAAAAAATACGGTTACGGTGTCACTACGTTTAGTAACGGCGAAAAAGAAGAGGGTAAATACAAAAACAACGTGCTGATAACAAGTAACAAGAAAAAACATCTGTTTCTAATGAGATCTGCGAAGTTCAGAGAACGTATCGACGCTGCTGTTAATGCAGCACAAAGAGCATCGAAAATAGCCTTGCAAAAAGCCGACATTGCAATTTCGAGAACTGCAACGGCCAGGGGAAAGGCAGAACAGGCAGATGTCGCAGCAGCCCATGCAAGGGAAGATTCGGACATCGCATTGGCTGTTGCAAAACAATTCGCACCAGATTTTAAACAACCAGGTTTAGAACGGTTCCGTGCGAGGTATAACAAAGATAGGTATACTGATTCAGCATACAGCAGTCAAAAAGATTCGTCACTTTCTAGTAGTATAGCTAATCAATTCATTAGTGAATATGCCCAAAATCAAGTGTCGAATAAAATACCGAATCACGTTACTCCAGAAATGAAAGTGGGAAACAAGATGCCGCCTATGGGAAACCAAATTCCGAATCAAATACCGAATCAAATGACGAATCCTCTAACGAACGAAATGCAAAACATGCAACATTTACAACAACAAAACGTACAAAATACCACATCCAATTTTATATCAAATCAATCACAACAGCATAATTTGGCACCGAATCCGTCACAGAATGTGATGCCAAATCAACCGTATCCGAATCAATCGCACAATAAATCGAACCAATCGAACAATTTACTACCGAATCAATCTCAGCAAATGAACTTCAACTCCACGATGCATAATAATAAAAGCATTTACGGTTACGAATTAGATAATCAAATATCGAACGTTCAGAAGACGCAAACTAGAACGACATCTGTGTACAGTAAACCACCACCTCCGCAAACGAACGATTACTCCAATCAAAACGCAAATCCTGCAACAAACGAAGATATTAATAGAGTACGAAATTCTATTCCGAGAGAGGAATATTCCCAAGCAAATCTGCGACGGAATTCTCGAAGAGTGTCAGGAGATCGGCCTTATCTAGGACAGACTCAACAACAATCGTCGATCGATTATTTCGATCATTACAAGAGACCGCCGAGTAGAGATTCAAGCGTCGATCGATATACAAAGGCAGCGAGTAGACTTAGTGGGTCCAGACAACCGTCAGTTGATAAAACATTCATTCCGGCGCCAGAAACTCCTGAGAGGACGTCAAGAGCTCCATCGGCTGCAAGGGGCACCCCGCCGGTACAAACGCCGGCTGCATCTAGAAACGGCGCAATTATGACCGGAAATCCGGGCAAAACGATCAACACCAGCAGCAGTAGGGCGACTACTCCAACGCAAGCTCCTTTTGAGGAAATAATTATAAGGAAACGTGGGTTGGGCCAAGACATCATTCCATCTCCCAATCAGCCCAAAAGAACGGAAAGCCTGTACAATCCAAATCCTGCTCCTACTGTTAAGGTAAGACTCTCATTGTTTTCTTTAATTGCTCGTTTGTTCTCAATACGAATATAACGCTTGTCAACTTTGCTCTTATCTAATCAAACGCGTATGACTTTTTCGCGAGGTTTTTCTAAATGAGTACCTAGTAAATTTTGATGGATACATATTAGAAACAGAAACAGTAGTTAAGAGAATGAGAGGTAGACGTAGATTAGATTACTGTTCACAAATAGTTACGGATCTGGGATGTTGTAGCTTTAGGGAAATGCGAAGATTATCTCAGGATAGCAAAGAGTGCAGGTGCGTGTCCAACCAGTCTTCGGATTGACTACCTTATGATGATGATGACGATGAGTACTTCGAAAGCAATTACATACATGCAAATTTCTAAGTACTTTTATAAAGTAATTCGTTTACCAATTGCCAACTGCTTATTTACAAAAGGAATTGGAATACGGTGCATTTTTTCGTGGATAGAGAAGGTTAGAAATCAAGAGATATTAGAAAGAATAGGAGAACAGAGGACTCTATCAAAGTCAATAAGAAATAGGAGCGATAGGTTAATAGGACACCTTCTCAGACATGAAGGTCTAGTCAGAGACATATTAGAGACAGAAACGGAAGTTAGGAGGTAGACCTAGATTAGATTACTGTTCTCAAATAAGGATGTGGGTTGTTCTAGCTTTAGGGAAATGCGAAGATTAGTTCAGGATAGGAAATAGTGGAGGTGCGTGTCCAACCAGAATTAGGACTGACGATGATGATGATGATAATGACGATGTCCTTCTATGAAGTAATAATTATGAAAATTACAGGGGTTTTTCGAATTTTATCCAAATATTTAGACGTAAAAAGAACAATAAATAGACGGGAGGACTAGATAGACATCAGACAGAGTGAAGCAAAACAATTTTGATCTGCCATTAATGGCTTTTGAAAAGTAATGTTTTGGAAATGAAAGTCTCTGTATAAGTACAGACATCATAGTAATTTGCTACTTATTGTGGGACAGAGAAATGTTTAACAAAACCCTTTTCTAATGAGGATATAAACTTCTCAGACTACAGATAGCGTTCACTGGGTAGTTTGTAGTCATTCTTTGAACGCTGGAATTCGAATGGCATTAGGTAGATTGGTCGGTGTTATTTTGGACTGTGTATAACGCGGCGTGCTGCTGAGAGCTAAATAACTGTTTATGTCTAACAGTTTCCACATAACTGACCAAGCAGTTTTTGTCGTAATAGACATTTTATGCTTCAGCGCATCAGTTTTTCTTAAATAGAGGCATATTTTTAGATATATGTATAGGTTCTGATCATTTCGTAAAAAGTCTTGAAGAACATTTGGAACCGTTTGTTCTGGGACGCAAGCCTGAGATAATAAAGCTTCACCATGATAATCTTGTTTTTATTTTGTCATGTTTATTCTGCTACTATGGCAGTCATGTAGTTCAACATGTTTTCTTTAATTGCGCCAGAAAAAGAGAAGTTCCTTTGCCAAATACATTATCATATGTGGCCAACAAAAACAATATGCAATTTAAATGCAACGTGTATCTTTCACTCCACAACTAAATACACAGCAATTTAATCTTTAGATATATATTGATAATAAGCCTATTTTGTATTAATTTTTATGTGTCTTTTAAGCCTGTACAATAACCTGCGACACTCAACCGATTCTGTTTCTCTAAAACTCATTGGAATCTACCATTACCTTTGCTAGGTTTTCCATTCGATCCCCGATTTTTTTGATCCCTTGGTATTTATTTATTATACATTATCTGAAGAATATTTCGTTCTGTTTTTTTTAATTTATTTTAAATTTGTGGTTCTTTTGGCGTATTGAGTTATCGTGGAAATTAACACGGAACAAAGCAGAATGCGAGCGGATAGCCAAAGAAAACTGGACAGCGTGGCTAAAGTGATGTCTCTAGTCTTGGTGGGTGCCGTCCAGCGAGCAAAAGCAGCACCACTTATTATGAATATATGGGGATTCCGGGAATACGCCATTTTCTGTATTAATGTTAAAATTCATGACTTACAACTTACATTGGCACTGCTCAATTTAAATAATCTGCAGGACAATCATTTAAAATAAAAAATTACCTTAGGAAGTATAATTGTATTACAAAATAAGCAAAATTTTCATCGCAATTTAAAGTTAGAACTTAGAGTATTTACCTACATCTCTACGGAAATGTTTGATGTTTAAAATTCTACTTTTGGCAAGGTCTACCGGTGTGACTAACCAGTAGATTAAGTGGTGTTGGAAAGTTGGACATTTGAACCTTTCATTACATTCTAGATAATCTAATGGATTATAAATTGGTACAGAAATCGATTTCGATAAATAGTCAACGTTTTTTTTACTTTCAAATCAGCATAAAATATCTTTACAGGTTTGTCATTCATAACGACAAAGTAATTTATTTTTCTGGTTTTGTTCCAATTTTAGTGTGTTAAAAGGGACCATTCAATTATTACGTAAAGATGTTTAGAGGGAAGGGGTTAACTATTTTTTTTTTAATAGGGAGTTGCTTTGCAGGTTTTTCGCATATTTATTAGAACAAAATATTTTTGTATTTGTACACGCTTAATTATCACCATTTCAAATTTTAACTTTTTAATATATTAAGTGGACAAACAACAATTTTTCTAGTATCTTACACTCGGAGAAAATTAGTTCAAAGGATATTTAAGGCTGATAAATTCTAATTTTGGATTCAGAATCAGTAAAACATACTAAGAGCCTTTTCATACGGGCTACTTTTTGTAGCGTTTCTGAAGCGCTACAGTTGCGCGATTTTTCTGTATCTACTGTTTTAAATAGACTAAATAGTTGTGCCCTTGAAGGGCTTCATTAAGAAATACATTTACTTTAGTTAACGCTTCCACACTGGCGTATTTTTAGTAGTACGACAGACCGATGATGGACAATGTCAATGTCGAAAATTCCATAATTTCAAAGACTCCATTTGGAATAGCTGCAGTGCACACTATATAAGGAAGAGCATGGGAATAAGGAATGATTGAAAAACTTTTTTCATTTTGACGTAAATCTTGGAAAGGTGTATAGAAATCCTTTTATCAATCGATTTCTGTTGTAAGGATCGACCCAAAATTTCCGATTCATTATATTCTTTTTCGTTAAAGAAGCGCTAATAAAGTAAGCTCCTCTTCGTCTTTCTTCTGCGACTTCATTTTAATAACTGTTTCTTTAAATTTGAAATAGATACGTTACTATATCGGCTACAATATCGAAGCGCTGCAAAAAATCGCTCTTTATACATGAAAACTAGCAACTGTCGCGCTACTGTAGCGCAACGAAAGCGATACAAAATGTAGCTCGTGTGAAAAGGATCCAATTGGTGAAAGCTTTTGCGGCCAGTAGGTGAACTGCTGCTGTTTTGATTCGGGTCTAAAGGCCCTCGTAGGTTGTTTTGCTAGTACTGATACATGTGGATGTGTCGGAGATGGAAGGATCTCTGAAGATGCTCGCCACTCATGTTAGCGAAACGTTAATAAAATTCCTGTCTTTTTTGGTGTGGAAATGGGGTAGTCCCTTATTAATTTATTTTTCCTTGGGGATGGAAGGAAGGCGGTCAAAAATTGGGAAAATGTTCTTGTACTCATACACAGTTAGATTCCTGACCGATTATGAGTCAGTTTGTATGAAATTTTTTTGAAATATCCACGAGTAAGAAATTCCAACCTCCGCAATTTCCAAACGGACGAACTGTCGGTCGCTCGGTTGTCGACAGTTTTATCGGTATTGAGATGCCTTGTATTGTTCAAGTGGGGGAAATCTAATTTTGTTTTCCCTGAGCTGCCGTTAAATATACATTAGCTGGCATGCAGTTCTAACCCGTTTGTCGCTCCGATTTGTCATGCTGTGGTACCAAGAAGACGACGATGAGGACATTTTGTTGTCACCCGCTCTATTGGCGCGGCGTGCTTCTGAATCCTGGATAGATACTCCTCCAGTTGAGGCATGGACTATTCAACTTCTTTCACTCACAAATTTCCTTCATAGGCATCTTCCTTCATTAAGTGATAACTTCACAGTTTAAAGTTCTGTTTTACAAGTGTTTCGTTATTGAAGAAATGTTTACATCCGATACTTATTTTTGTCTGAAGATATTTTTTTTCTTTTTTAACTTGCCGATATACAAAAATTTAATTCTGTGAAATGCGCCAAACAGTAAACATCAGCGGGCTGTTTTGTAATTTGTGCCAATAACTTTGGTCTGATAATAATTACGCTTCAAAGACATTTACATCTGCTGTCTGCCTTTCATTGATCTGTCTGTATGATATAAAAAGTAAACGGTGTTTATTATTTTTCTTTTAGACTATCGTCGAGCAGACTTCGCTGCAAAGGAAGAAGTCGTTACCTGATGTTCAAACGCTACCAAAAGCCACAGAACCAATGTCGAGGGAAGAGGTGTCATATTTAGGATCAATGCGACGGGAGGAAGTCCGAAGGATGAACGAAGAACGTGAAAAATTGCGAGCAAATCCTTTACTTTATCTTGTTAGCCCGCAAGTTAAGGTATGGCCTTTTCAAGTACTTTTTTACAAGTTAAATCAATACTTAATTTCTTCTTTTACAAGTTAACAGTTTACTTACCAATAGTTTTAAAATATAACTTAATTCGACATGTTGCTGATNTTATATATATATATATGTATATACATACATATAGATCTGCTCTACACCTTTTTCTAGTTTTACCTTTGCCTGGCACTTCTTTACTTGACTTGACCTAGGTGTCATATTGATATAATGATCACAATTACTTGAATTAATATTGTATATTTAACTTGGTCATTTATGAGGAACTATTTCGTAATGTATTTCTTTTTTAACAACGCTAACGCCTACAGAGATCTGATAGGTATGTTTAGATTTTAGTATTCTTTTAGATGTTTTGGTAAATCGCTGTATGCTCACTTATATATTTATATACAGGGTGATTGACTTAAACCGTTCAATGGAAATTTATAGGAAACGAAAAGACAAATCGATTTAAAGCATACTTATATACTTGCATTTATGAAAGTCTATTTAACCAAAAAATATAAAACTGTAACATTTATGGCTCTACGGGAACTGCACCATTAGATTAATATATTGATATCCAAGTTTGTTTATTGTACCTATACTTCATTATGTTTAAGGGCGACCTTTGTAAGAGTGATATATGAGGTCTGTTCAAAGGTACATACTTCAAAAAATCATATCTTGTGATCTTGTTCAGCTCCAACTTCGATGCCGTCTTTATCTCCTCAAATGTAGCGTAGCGTCGTCTTTTCATGTGATTCTTCAGTTTGGGGAAGAAATGGTGGCTGCGGCATTATTAGTGTGTTGTTTTTGGCTAAACATTCGCTTACAAACAACGATGTGTGAGCATCGGCGTTATAATGGTACAAAAGCCATTTTTTTCCAGTAATTCGGGCGTTTCTGGCGGATTGCTTCGCCCAAATTGCGTATAACTTGAAGGTAATATTCCTTATTGACCGTTCTACCCTGTGGCAAGAACTAATGATGCACCACGCCCTGCAATCGAAGAAACCTTCACATTCGACCTAATTTGGTGCGCTTTTTGGGATGATTAAGCTTTGGTTCCCACGTTATAACCATAAACCCATGATTCGTCACCAGTTATGACCCTCTGCAGCAAATTTGGGTTAACAGCTCCTTAGCAATGTTAATGCGTTGTTGTTTTTGGTCGAAATTGAGCAATTTTGGTATGAATTTCGCGGCGACCCGTCTCATGCCCAAATCATTGGTAAAAATCAAATGACAGGAGCCAATTGATATGTTTAGGTCCTCAGCAACTTCTCTAACGGTTATTCGACGATTGGATAACACCTTTTTCTTCGCTTCATCAATGTCTTCGTCTGTTGTTGATGTGCTCGGGCGTCCTGCACGCTCTTCGTCGTTCATATCTTCTCGGCCCTCCAAGAACATTTTGTACCGTCGATAAACGTTGCCTCGGTCCATGGTAGCTTCACCATATGCCACATTCGACATTCGGAATGCGTCCACGCTCTTTTGTTTTTCTTACAAAATTTGATACAAATTCTTTGATCCATTTTTTGGAATAGGCAAAAATCGAAGTCAGTATCAGTATAAGTGAGATACATGAGTACCAATAAACCGCCACAACACAATTGAAAATACGCAACCTGGGGAACTTCAAAATTCGCGATACTTTTTGAACAGACCTTGTAGGTACCTCTAAAGTCAATATTTTTCATGTTGCAATAATCACTTCTAGATGAAAGATTTATTGAAAACATCAGTCAACATCATCCTCATAAGGTCATCGGTCTTGAGGTAACAAAACATTATTATTTTGGAATCTTAAATGATAGCTGATACCCCAGGCCTTTTTTTTGTCTCATTTTTTTAAACTTTAAAGCTTAATTACAAAAGTAGGCATTGACTGTTACGGATGACGACACAAATTTCGAAAAGTCGTTTCTTAAATAGCAATATAAGTACTTGTCTAACGTTATTATTCATCATTATTTGTTGTTGCTGAGTATGTGTTCCATAACTCAGAAAAATGCTTGAGGGTCTGGCTTTTTTTGGTATCTAGGATAGTAACTCTGTTCGACATTGATTTTTCAGTAAACTGTTCCCCTCAAATTGGAAAAAAAGGAATATATTAATGTTGATTCAAACAGTTTAACCCATACATCCATTGGAAGTAATAATTTTTCGTTTACACTTCCATATTAAGGTTTTGATTTTAGACTTGGCTTTGCATTTTCGCAAGACCAAAACCAATTTTGCTCATTATTTCTTATAATTTAAAAAATATCAGCTTTAGTATTATATATATATCACATTAATAAAAGTTACCTTTCAATTTAATAATCTATTTAAAGAAATAAAGAATATTAAACCGTTTTGTCAATAGCGAAGTAATGAAGCACTTCCGTTAGAACCGGAAATGCCACTACAGTTTCGAAAATATTTTCTTTAAATAGATCCCTTTGACTTGTAGATGTATACCAAGTATAATCGACGCCTCTTTTTGATCTCTATAAATGTTTAATGAACGATTTGGATCAATCACCCTGTATATACACATTCGTAAAAAATATATACATATATATATACACGAGGAATGTGGAAAATGGTTAGCGATTTTTCTTTTTCCTGTTGTATTTAATTACTTAAAAGGAAGAAGCTTGTAGTTTTACTTCTAAAGCCTGGTTATCACCGCTTAGACTAGTTTAGTCACTCGGACTCGTTCTCTTCTTATGTTATTTACGATCATGTTAATAATTTTTTCACAATCCTCGTCTAACATGCTACGATCGATTACCTAGGTTCAGTCTGCCGCTATTTGCACACGCATTATCTTAAAGCTCAGCCAGTAAAAAAGCACGTAGAATGCTAAAGCCCGCTTATAATACGCTCAAAAAGCTTTTCAGTTTATATAAGGTATTTCGTTTTCTCCTCCAAACATCTACATATATTTTACATTACTTTTTAATTTTGAAGAACTAGGTATACAAATGTAGTATAAGAATAATTAAATAAATAAATAATAATTATACTTTATTAGCACACCTAATAAGTGTAACTCATCAGTAAATTGAAAAATTCGACAATTATTTCAGTGTTTACCTTTCTATAAAGCATGTTTTGAGTATTTCAAACCTGACTCATTTAATTATGAATGACTTCCATACGGAAAAAGCGACATTCCTGGATTAATAATATTTTATGCATGATCGATGAATTTTTTAATTCTTGCTTATGGAATTCTTGAATCAGGCAAAAAAATAATCTAAATTGAGAAAAACACTTCTAAAATCACTTAGAACTATTAGGAAGAGCCAGATTGTCTATTTGTATTATTGATTATTGAGATTAATCTTATCTATGTATAAAACAGTACCGTGACTGATACACAGACAGACAATGCACAACCTAAGCTTTTGAACCTAAGAGATTTCAGATTTTAAGAAAATATTTCAACTATGGGGGTGTACTAACACACTTGAAGTTCCATATCCAAAGGGGTGGTAAAGTTTGTATTTTGCATGGAAAAACATTAATTATTTTTTCAAAGTGCGAACGAAGGGGGGGGGGCAAGAAGTGGGTGAAGTGTTCCGATGACTTTGCTGCGGCGCAAAATAGTCGTAACTTTTAAATGCAAAATGTCCAGCTTTTTTGTGGATTAGGTTAAATAAGGGTTGAGTTGGGAGGTCTTAGTCTTAATTTTTACCTCTCTCCAATTTTCGTTCCCATCTAAAAATACCTTTTCACTCTCGAATAAGATTATACCTTCCCTTCAATCGACACGAAGCTTATGTACGAGTTTCAACTCTCACCCCCAGCAAGGTATATTGTTGGAATATTATTCTAAAAGATGAAACGTACGTTTCGGTTGTAAGGCCATTGTCAAAAAGTACACAGGTATAAGTTACAGTTGCAAAAGATTAATAAATTTTAATCAGAAATTTATGAAACTGCTAGACGCAGATTACGATTTCGACTTTATTAGACCTAATCAGCGCGCTATAGGGAGTCTTAATAAATTACTGAATAAATCAAACAAGGTTGTAAATAGAGATAAGCCGAGTATCCGGTTTGGATCCGGTACTCGGCGGATCCGGTACCTTTTTAGGATTCGACCGGATACCGAACAATGATGCGTAGCATACCTGTGTACCCTTTGATAATATCTTTATAGCCGAAACGTACGATAGATTTTTGAATAAAAAAACATTTTGAATATAACAGCTATTATTAATAGTAACACATCATTGTATTTTCAATAGGTTGCGTATGTGCATATGTATTTAGGGATTTTTTTTTGTAAAATACTAAAAATTAATTATGGTTGTCATGGGTTTTTGTTATAGGACTGGTTCTCGCGCCAGCAGCTGGTAATTGTAGTGCTATTCATAAACATCTCCTTGGCTATAATGTTCTTCAAGATACTGACATAGTACAGGTTGAGCGTCAATTGACGCTGAATTTCGTGCTACGCCCAGATAGAAATTGGACGCCCAAAAGACAAAACGCTAATTCATCCTATCCATAATTTTTTCTAGGAAATAAACACATTCAAATTTTTAAGTTAAGCTATGTTATTTATTGTATAGGATTGAGTGTTGTTTTCTTTTTTATTTTATCTTTGTTTTAAATTATAAGTTGCTGTTGAAGTTTTCAAAGTTTAATTGTAAATATTCTAATGCGTATTATGTTCTTTGTTTAAGCTTAAGAACTGCTAAATGTACATAAACTTCACGATTACACGATCATTTTTTCAATGCGTTTTGTCGATTTTAAATACATAAAGTACATTTTTCTTTTATTATTTTTATTATAAATATTATCTGCTGGGGACGTACAAATTTGTCAAAAAAACTAATACAAAAACGAAGTTTTATGAAACTCCTAGATTGGTGAGTTGTACTAAATTTATCGCAGTATTTAGTTAATTATTTGCAAAATAATCAAAAATGATCTTAAAGGTTATATAGATGGGTATTTCATTTATTTAAGTGTTCCATTCGTCTGAAATGGTTTAGTATTCATTCTTTTTGGTGCTTAGAAAGATATTGTTTTCGAAAAAGGTGTATGAAGTTATTCATTAATTGTTACCGACGAAACCATCGTTTAAATATAATGAGTAAATTACCTACAATATAATTAAAAAGTATATTATTTATATTCGTATTTTTGAATCGTAATTGCATTAGTAACAATAAATGAAGTATGAGGACTCGAAAATACTAAGAATAGGGGCTTTTAGGGTCTAATTTGATGCTAAGGGTAAAATTAAGGGTCCATAACATGCCCATTCAACCCCGTTTCTATTCCCGTGCAATATCTTTATTTTACTTATTTATTTGTTACTAATTCCATTTTTCGTTTTGATGCTATGGGTCTTATCTTTAGTTTAAGATCAACTAAGTTGCCCTAATTTGAGATTTAACCATTGGCTGTTCTTAATTTTTTACCCTGGCATCAGATTAGCTTCTATTAAGCCTTAATTGCTCAACGAAGTTGTTCTTAAAAGATTTTCCTATTCTCCTAAAAAAAGTAAATATACCCGTAAGCGAAAGTACGAATCTTGGTATTGAGTTATTACACACCGTTGTCATTAATAACGCTAAGGACGGCGCGCACACGACTGACTGTTGGAATTTGTACGAATACGTAGTGGCAATTCGCGTAGTGTGCATTTTAAGATTACTTATGCCAAGGTAAACTCTTTCGCATACTGTATACAGAGTTGTAAGTGAAAGTTAAAAAAATATTTATTTGCAAAGGTATGGGGATACAAATAATTAAGAAAAATGTTATCTATATACTTATCGTATATATTTTTATATTTTCTACTCATGAAAGCACCAAAAGACAAGATGACTAGGAAACGAAAATAGAAATTATTTAAATATGAAGCATATTAAATAAATCACGTTTGCAATTGTTCTCTAAAATTGAACAATGAATAACAGCTTTAATTAACTATTTTGTCACATTTATTCTTACGAATGCATCAATCACTTATGATACATACTTAAGCTTAAACAAACGTACTGAATATTATTGTAAAACACTGATTGATATTAAAAATGGAAAAATATATATATTAAATAAATGTTATGCGCAGTTTTGGTAATATCACACGAAGCCAAAATATTGTGTAACTATACAAAATGGTATAATTTTAAATGAAATCTAAATATTAACGCTGTGGGTGCTTTTCACAATTAATTTCTGTTCTTCGAATTAATTGTTAATTTTGTTTTATCCATTCCACTAGGTCGCTCTTATTTGTGGCTAATACGACGGTCAATATAAGAAAAATGATTAAATTTGGAATATGCCTAATAAAAGTTGTAAAAAATTAAAATGGTAGTATAGAATTTATAACTTGAATTATGATAATAATATGGAAATTTATATATAAAAAATAGGAGAATAGTATTAAATAAATCTAAAGTTTCACTCTTTTTTAATTTATATATGTACTTATGATCATTTGTCTGTGATAATAAAATACTCCAGTGTTTGGTAAACTTTTAAAAAACGTTGGTAGAATATTTGTTGTAGAGATAAATATATGTACCAAAATATTTTCAGAAAATTTACGTTTCCAATTAGGTATCTAGAAATTACACATTTTCTATCGCTTTTCCCGTACACTTTTCCAATTCTCATTTCAAACCACGTCTCGATACACAACACATAAACATGTATTCATAGGGTAAAGGTAGCAATGAAAGGAAAAAAGAAAGTGTAAATATTTTGATTGTTGTTCTATGTACATAAACTACATTTATATAAGAGCAATCATTGTTTTTTTTTATCAATATACAACATTTTTACGTAATAGTATTGTACTTTGAATACCAATTTTTGGAATTTAGAAAAGTATATTAGGAATGCTTATAGCCAAAATATAAAACAAGAAGAAAACGGAAAACGAAATCAAAACACGCACAAATTTAATCGAAGAACAGAAATTGAAATAAATAATGTTTTAATAGATAATGTTAAGTAGTTAGTTAGTTGTTTTGTAAGATTTGACACTCTTGCGATTTTCTCTCGCTGGTAGAGGGCAGTATGTTAAATTTTTCGAAAAATTTGTATATTTATGGCAGAAAGTTATGTTTACGATTGTTAATTGTTTAAAGGACTATCAGACACTAAGATTCGCATTATGGGATTTACGTGAAAAATTTTATAGAATTGTTTGCGTGCCTTGTTACACACTTATGAGGCTACTGTATAACTGTTATTGTATTATCGATATAATTTCATTTTTATGAAGTATATGAATCCCGAATTTCTATAGATTTGTATATAACAAATTAAACTGCATTACACAAACTGTTTTATTACCTATTTCGTAATTTCAAATAAATAAAACAAATCCTATTCCCCCTTGAATATATATTATATAGTATTCCACTGTTTTCGTTTTTTCTTTCTTTATTATTTTTTATTATATGTTCATAAAATAAATGCTTTTGTTTTAAAAGAAAATTTCTGATTTTTCTTTCATCCAATTCATTAATTAATTAGGTAAGTACCATTTGTTGCAATTTTAAGAACAGTGAAAGCGAATAGATTCACTGATGAAAATTACAAATTGGACTAACCTACTATCCAAATGCATACTTTCCCTAGAGATGTGCAAAATGGTTTTTAAAAGTATGTATTTAAATACAAAATGCAAATGATTTTTGGATCTGTTATTTCAAATGTAAAATACAAAATTAATTTCCTTTTTGTACTTCAAAATACGTATTTTTAAAATACTTTTTTTGAATAAATTCTACACATATTTACACATAAAATTTTTTTTACTGAGTGAAAATTACAAATTTTACTAACCTAATATCCAAATGCATATTTTCCCTAGAGATGTGCAAAATGGTTTTTAAAAGTATTTAAATACAAAATACAAATACTTTTTATATTTGCTATTTCAAATGTAAAATACAAAATAGATTTCCCTTTTGTATTTTAAATGCTAAATGCAAAATACGTATTTGCAAAATACATTTTTCAGTTAAACCTTTTTTTGTAGTACTTATTTAATTTTCTACATTTACTTAAGTATAAAATATTTT